CACCTATTAGGTGAAAAAACATTTTCCACCATTTGTGCATCAAAGAGTTGTACCTAGAACAAGGGAGGAAAATATTTTCCGTGGAAAATTTCGCATATCAAACAGTCAAAAAAGTGAAAGTAGGAAAATATTTTCCTACTTCCCTAGAAAACTCCGCCAATCAAACGGCGCCTTAATCTTTTTAAAGGGTTGAATTTGTTCCAGTACCATATAATCAAATGACATTCACCCCACCCCACCTACCAAAATGTTAAATTTTCAAAACCCAATTTCACACAAAAATTTAAAGGTCAAAATCACAGGAAATTCTACTCTACTTAATTTATTTAGCTGTTGCTGTACCCAATCTTTCTAATAAGTCATATTCATGTCACCCCCTGTTGGAGTCATGTCCAGTTTGATCCATTCGACAAATCACAAATAAAATGAATTAATACACTATTTGGTACAAATTAAAATCTGATTTTAATCTCAAGCCAAAGTCAACAATTAATTTTAACCACACATTTCATAGGATTCACAACTTTTCAACCACGCATTCCATCAACTTTTATCAAAATCTACTAAAACTCTGATTTTAGTAAGGGGAAATCAAAAGTGGATAGAAATTGTGAATTCTATACAATATATGAATAAAAATATAGTTAATTATAAATCGTGATGAACTCAAATATTTAGGTGGGTTCTCACTTAGGCTATATTTTAAATAAATGAAGATTAGTCAATTAGATGATCCTAACCCTAACTCTAGGTGGGATTTGGTGTGTTGAAAGTCTCAGTCTGTGTGCTCTTCCACACCTTTATTTTCTTCTACTAATAAATAACCAATAAATAAAGGAAAATTTGCAGCAAAGATCCCAAACTTTTTTAGAAAGTACACCGCTATCTTTAAATCATACTTCTAAACCTTTTGAAAATATGCGAAGGAAATTTGGACGATTTTTGTCCAAAATTTCCTCGTTTAAGTGAAACTTAAGCGTTTCAACTTAAATAATAATAATAATAATAAAAAAGAAGGCAAAATGATAAGTCTACAATTTTCAACTCAAAATAATTAAATAAAAAGAAAATGAAATTTCTTCATCTTCTTCCCACCCCAACCCCCATATATGAATCGACCATAAGGCATAGATTATGCAATTTTGTCAGAAAGTGGTTGATCGATAGAGTGACATAATGTTAGTTGGCAAGATGTGATTTTACGAAAAAAACTGTTCAAAACAATTCAATGATAAAGTGTCATGTGACATTATGTCAATTATTGTTTCTAGGAATACGTCACTGTTGTTAATCTCTTATTTGGTAGAGATTAAAATTATATTTTTAACAAAATTTTGATAAAAGTTAATAGAATGTATGATTGAAACGTTGTGTGTTTTATGAAATATGTGATTAAAATTAATTGATGACTTTTACTTTAAATTTTAATCAAATTTTTGAACCTTACCAAATATTGGCCAAGGCCTAAGACAAAATTAAACACAAATTTATTTATTTATTGTTGGAGTCAAATTTTGTATAAATTTATGGAAACAATCCTTTAAATAAAGTCGTGAAAATCTGAAATTAGTCTTCTTATTTTCGGTTTCTATCTTTTTTCTATCTCCCACACACAAAATTTATGTTCATTACAGTTTCACGTCAATGATCTCCATATAGTTGAATCTTTTGCTACGCTGGAGTGGACTCAGTCATTGCCAACAATGGCCGGGAAGATCACGATAGAGTCGGCTGTGGTGACCGCGTCTTTGACGCGTAGGCAACCGCTGCTGATTACGTCACCAAAGACGAAGGACGGAAGTGATCGGAACGATAAGAACGGCGGTGGCGATGGAAGCCGCCGGGGAAGCAGAATGGGGGAAACGGCGGGGGAGTGCGCCGCCGTGTGCTGCTGTTGTCCATGCGCCATGATGCACCTCTTGGTCCTCGCGATATACAGGCTCCCCAAGGGGCTATGCAAGAAGGCCTGGAGAGAAAAGAAGAAGAAAAGATTACTCAAAAAGAAGAGGAAAAATTCGTCGTTGGAGGAAAAGGAAAATCAACGGAAAATTAGAACTCGATCACATATGAATATGTTTGGATTCGATTCTGATTCTGATGATGAATCGACGTCGGACGGTGAAGATTATAGGAACAGTGAAAAAAACGACGCCGCTGATTGGGATGAGGAGATGTGGAATCGATTTGATGAGGCTGGATTCTGGAGAAGTGCTTCTCGAAGGGCTGAGAATGATAAGTCATTTGTCAATTGATTTTCTGTGCAGAAACATCTTAATTCATATATTCTCCACGTAAGAAATTGACCTTATTAATCGTTTAATTTGATCTTAACTTTTAAGCACCTTTTTAAACTATTCCAAAATATTCTCCACGTATGAAATTGACCTTTTTAATCGTTTAATTTGATCTTAACTTTTAAGCAACTTTTTAAACTATTCCAAACAAACACTAGATGAGAAAACATATGCGGATCAATATAATTTTGTGCATATTGTCCGATTCTTCTTGTTGGAATGGAACGGTGAAAAATGGTTCATATAAGAGATTCGTCAATTATAATTTTTCGAGGAAAAATCTTAGTATTATGTGCTTGTTAATCAAGCTTGATCGATCGTCGTGTTTAGTCTTAAATGTATAGCTTTTCCTTTTCTTCTTCATCATATTTGATTTATAAATGAAGTTTACAACTTTGGCTTTCATGCCAAAGTCTCTACCTCAAATTACAGTGAAATCGGATTTGAGTGTCTCCACCACATTTCAAGACGAGGTTCATGTGGCAGCCACCTATTTGCGCCTCATTAAGGTCCACACTCTTATCTCTAAGGGAAGCGAAATAGACACCTCAGCTGAAGTCCACTAACAGCTAAAGTAAAGCAACCGAAGCTAGGCATCTCATATTGCATTCAAATCATAGAGACGACATCCACACGCACTTTAACTGAAGCGTCTCATGAGGTCGAAGCTCACATAGGCGAGGTGGAAGCCCCTATTATGAGGGGCATCTTTTATCACTTCTCCCAAGATATTTAACCACCCCAAGAGATTTCCCACATACAAGATCCTATAGAAGTGATTGATGCAACCCCCTACAACACTGCAAATGTTAAGTCATGCTAGTCTATTATATAGGCATACAGACCTAGACGAACATTAAATGCTACAGGACCTAGGACATTTGATGTGACCACCTATGATGGGACGCTTCGACCGTTAAGATGAAGCCACAAGCTTCTCCATCTAAAAGCCACCATTTCAGCCACACTACTATATAAGCCAAAGGCTCACACTAACTTAAGGTTAATGCAACTTTCACTCTAAAATTGTACGTTTATCCGTTTCCCGTGTTCGTACACTTTTGTGGCTTGCTCCTTAAAATTAGCTTCATACTCAATATATATTTCTTCCCATCGACTTACTTGATTATTGAAGTATTTGCGGCTGCCTTCCCCACTGTTCACGGAAATATCTTTTAAATTAAAACCACAGCAAGTGTATGGTTTGTTAATAAGTAATAAAGTGGATTTGAGTCCAATTATCGTCTCACATAGATTGATTTAGTTTAATTTTAATTATCGCGACCTTAATCGAAAATATGAATAATATGGTGTGTTTGTTTGTGACAAAATTATGACTAAAATAATCTGCTTATGCAATTATTAGTAAATTAAATAAACTAAATGCAAATTGATGTGTTTAATAAATGACAAACGCACTAGGATTCCGAATTCTTATACAATAATCGTTTTTAACCTTAATTATAGACTTTGACAACACGATTGAATTTGATGAATTAATGTTCTTACTTTATTTAACAATCTCTCTCGAGTAATGTTAAACTTACTCTCATATATGACCAAACTATATTTTTATGACGGATGCGAATATACAAGAATGCATGGATTTTTATGAACACTGCGGTATATTTATATTTTCTATCGGGCTCTATGACAATTTACACTATGTCAAACATAATTTCTTTCTTTTGAATACATAAAATAAGCTATCAAATTCATACAAGTACCATGTACCATAACCGTAGATAAAAAATAATCATGCAAATCAATCAAAATCCAAAAACGTGTTTTCTAAATCAAATATGTGAAACTAAAGATTAAAAAAAATTTATATTACAAGATTCATCGTTTTCCTAACACAAATAAATTTAGCATAACATGTTATAAAGAAGAAAATAAAAGATATATTGAAGAATCGACATCACCAAAATAAATCTTGAATTGAATTTTCGAGTTTTAGAATCGATCTTCGTGTTTATTGCCTCCTTCTGTGCTCCAAAATCTTTTAGAATGTGTTGTAATGCGTGGTAACCATTTCTAGACGGCACTAGATCATTTAAAAAGTTCCAAAATTTGTTTTCATAAGAATTTGAATTATATAAGGAAACTATAATTTTTCCTCTGAAAATACACTATGCTAGTGCATAGTGTATTTTCATACTATAGCATAGTTCAATCAATTTCAGCTCCGGAAGACCCTGAATCACACCATGCGACCGCATGGCTAAAAGAACTGTGCTATAGCAAAATTCAAGTAAAATTTCATTCTTTGCATATTGGTCCTTGAACACCGTTTCTTATTTCTTGACCTCTTTTCTCACTTCTTCTTCTTCCAGTACTTCATGTCTTCATTAAATTGGTCTTCCACTCTTTCACATCTTCGGGTCATCTTTCGACTATTTGCACTTTGGTCCTTGAACTTTGATTTTCTTCCATTTTAGATTTTCGTTTGTTTTTCCTGAATTCCACCATATCCATCAATATTATCCTACAAAAACATAATTTATATATAATTAAGTCATATTACAATATATTTGTCAACAACTATCCATGTTTTGTGACTTAAATAAGTGTGTAAAATGCACTTATCACCCACCAGGCAACGAATGACTAACAATTTGTTCAAGTGTGGACGAAATGAGCTTACGTAAGCGCAAGTATGCCTGAGATTTATTGATTACGTGAAAGTACATTTTTCGATGTTAACAATAATAATGGGAGAGTAGTATAGAAGAAAATAAATATTGCTCATAAAACACGTTTCTTGTTAAAAATACGTCGTCGTGCTTTAACCCAAACAAAAACCAAAATTTCATAACTTGTTGGAACGAAAAATAGTTCAAAAAGTAGGCCACATTAATTGTGTTCTTAACCCATCAAAGTTTGTTTCTTTCGTCGTCTTGAAAGTGTGTACAAACTAGCTAAATGTGTAGATTATTTAAAAATTTCGTGAATTGAAATACAGTCATATCTAAAAATTCCTAAATAAAGTTTCACTTACTATGAATTGATTACACCTTAGGATGGGATGAGTTTGTGGCCCTCTCACACTGAAAAGGGCATGGAGAATCTGACCAGGGCATTGTTTGGACATTTTTAAGCCACAAGTATATAATTTTAGATTTTTTAATTTTCCTAAGATCAAAAAACATTAATGTTAATGTTCAAATATTAGAGTTTTCGATATGAAAATCATCACGTAGGAGATGAAAAGAGCAAGCACGAGTCTTTCGGAAACTTCGGTTTCAAATAGCATCTTTTCGTCTTCATGATTTCCTCTTATACCTCTATAAATAGAGGTCGTAAACGATATATAGAACAAGAAAAATAAGAGATCTTTTCATACATGTACACATCATTTTGTTCAAACAAAATCAGAAATTTTCGAAGTTTTATCGCTCCTTTTCTCGGGTTTTTACTTCTGTTTTGTGCAAACTCGGTTAAGGCTTGATTACTCCACAAATTTGTGCTATTTGCAAGTAGTTTCAAAAGCATCTCGTGATTGAGATGTAGCAAATTAACGCCTTTTGATTTGAATCTAACTATAGTGTAAATCCATTTCCAATTTGATGTTCGAAATTCCATTTCCAACTCTCTCGAGTTTTTCCAACACTTTCATATCAAGAATGGTTATTTTCACATTTCACATGTATTTTATATTAAATTATTTTTATCATACTTTTTTATAGTACATGAATGATTTTTTTATTTTTTTGGGAAGAACTTGTAGTCAAAAAATAGAAAAAAATTATGCGTCTCGTAGAATGTGTGGCTGAAAATAAATTCTGAGATAAATTATTTTAAAAAACCTCTCCCAAACAAAGTCTAAATCACGAAAGATTTTGGAGATATTTTAGAGGTCCCATTGATTTTAAAATTTATATTCTCCACGTATGAAATTGACCTGTTTAATCGTTTAATTTGATCTTAACTTTTAAGCAACTTTTTAAACTATTCCAAACAAACACTAGATGAGAAAACATATGCCGATCAATATAATTTTGTGCATATTGTCCGATTCTTCTTGTTGGAATGGAAGGGTGAAAAATGGTTCATATAAGAGATTCATCAATTATAATTTTTCGAGGAAAAATCTTAGTATTATGTGCTTGTTAATCAAGCTTGATCGATTGTCGTGTTTAGTCTTAAATGTATAGCTTTTCCTTTTCTTCTTCATCACATTTGATTTATAAATGAAGCTTACAACTTTGGCTTTCATGCCAAAGTCTCTTCCTCAAATTACAGTGAAATCGGATTTGAGTGTCTCCACCACATTTCAAGACGAGATTCATGTGGCAGCCACCTATTTGCGCCTCATTAAGGTCCACACTCTTTTCTCCAAGGGAGGCGAAATAGACGCCTCAGCTGAAGTCCACTAACAGCTAAAGTAAAGCAACCGAAGCGAGATATCTCATATTGCATTCAAATCATAGAGACGACATCCACATGCGCTTTAACTGAAGTGTCTTGTGAAGTCGAAGCTCACATAGGCGAGTTGGAAGCCCCTATTATGAGGGGCATCTTTTATCACTTCTCCCAAGATATTTAACCTCCCCAAGAGATTTCCCACATACAAGATGATTGATGCAACCCCCTACAACACCGCAAATGTCAGGTCATGTCAGTCTACTATATAGGCATATAGACCTACACGAACATTAAATGCTACAGGACCTAGGACATTTGATGTGACCACCTATGACGGGACGCTTCGACCGTTAAGATGAAGCCACAAGCTTCTCCATCTAAAAGCCACCATTTCAGCCACGCTACTATATAAGCTAAAGGCTCACACTAACTTAAGGTTAATGCAACTTTCACTCTATAATTGTAAGTTTGCTCTATATTCTCTTGATATCCGTTTCCGATGTTCGTACACTTTTGTGGCTTGCTCCTTAAAATCCGCCTCATACTCAATATATATTTCTTCCCATCGACTTACTTGATTATTGAAGTATTTGCGGCCGCCTCCCCCACTGTTCGCGAAAATATCTTTTAAATTAAAACCACAGCAAGCGTATGGCTTGTTAATAATTAATAAAGTGGATTTAAGTCCAATTATCGTCTCACATAGATTGATTAATTTAATTTTAATTATCGCGTCCTTGATCGAAAATATGAATAATATGGTGTGTTTGTTTATGACAAAATTATGACTAAAATAATTTGCTTATGCAATTATTAGTAAATTAAATAAACTAAATGCAAATTGATGTGTTTAATAAATAACAAACGCACTAGGATTCCAAATTCATATACAATAATTATTTTTAACCTTAATTATAGACTTTGACAACACGATTGAATTTGATGAATTAATGTTCTTACTTTATTTAACAATCTCTCTCGAGTAATGTTAAACTTACTCTCATATATGACCCAACTATATTTCTATGACGGATGCGAATATACAAGAATGCATGGATTTTTATGACCATTGCGGTATATTTATATCTTTTATCGGGCTCTATGACAATTTAAGCTATGTCAAACATATTTTCTTTCTTTTGAATACATAAAATAAGCTACTTCTCTTATAGTACATGAATGATTTTTTTATTTTTTTGGGAAGAACTTGTAGTCAAAAAATAGAAAAAAATTATGTGTCCCGTAGAATGTGTGGCTGAAAATAAATTTTGAGATAAATTATTTTAAAAAACCTCTCCCAAACAAAGTCTAAATCACGAAAGATTTTGGAGATATTTCAGAGGTCCCATTGATTTTAAAATTTTCAAAAACCTCTTGTGAGGTTTGTTTTCAACAACATATTCCTTCTTTATATTAGTCAAAAGTATATCCTTATTTCATATTTTTCTCTTAGCCCTTAGTTATTGATAAAATAATTTGAATAATATTTTACTATCTTAGGTTGTTCTTTATTTTTCCCTCGTTTCTTAAGATTTTATGATTAAATACTAAAATTCATTTTTAGTTAAAATAGATATTGTTATATTTTATGTACTAATGTTTTGAATAAAATTATATTTCTATTATCTCTATTTTTTTTGTACTTGTAACAATTATTGAAATAATAATGGGGTGGGTCGGGTTGAGTTATGGCCCTCCGTCCCCTACCTCTACGATAATTTTTGGGTGGGGAATAGGATGGGGATTAAAATATTTTTATAGAAATAACGGAACTTCTCATCTCGATTGGCCTCGATTGCTCTGCCTCAAATCTTTCTATTTTATTTTTTCATTTGAAATGAAAAAATAATACTAGAATAAAATAAATAACTGATCGTGACGGTAAATGAAAATATTTTAATCCCATGCTCGTCTGGCCTCCTAAAAGTACTTGACGAAATGAGGATTGAGATGACCACACTGTCCATTGCTATCTATATATCCTTTATTTATTTAATTTTTTAATATGATTTAAATTTTAAAATATATAAAAATTAAAAATAATAATGGAAAGGATCTTGAGAGGGAGTATATTCAAGTGCTACAGAGCATTTTATCATTAATGCACTGAGTTTGAGATGTGCTATCATCATAGTTTAAAATTACTCATTCATATGATTTGGCATGATTAAGTTGCTGCTTGATGGTCATTATTTAAATAATTAAACTCTTTTGTCCGAAAGAATTTGTCGTCATGATTGATATACACTCACATAGGAGTGGGAACCTCTAGAAATCCATGCGAATTAAAAATTCCAAAAAATTGCCCCTTCATATTGTCAGTGTGTTGTCGACGAGGGAAATTGTATCAAACACTCCTGACGGTAGGGTTGGACAAAACTCTCGAACTGAACCGAATCAAGCGGTTCTTCATAAGTTAAATACCGAACGAGTATCTGAATCGAGAACCAATGAGTTTGGTTCAGTTCTCTGTTCTAGTCCAAAAATCGAATCTAAATAATTTTTTAAAATTTTTTATATTGAATTAATTAAATTATTTTAATTTTTTTAAAACAAATTAGCATATTAACTAAATTAGTGATTAATGCTTCAACTCCCAAGCCAAATCCATGCCTAGCTAGCCGAGCCCAACCCAATTTCTAAATTAAATTTTTTGTTTTAATTTTTTGACCAAATTATTAATTTCATTGTTAAGTCTTAGATCTAGACCTTTGTAAGTTTTTATCATTCCCTTTCAAATTTCGTACTTTCATTCGATATTTTCGATAATCTCTTTACCGGTTGATGAAATTTAAATGTTGTATTGAAAGAGAAAAGATTGTATGCAAAAAATTTGCAATTTTAGATGTTCCTACTAGATGAAATTCAACATTCTTAATGTTAGATAGTGCATTTAATTTGTAAAAAATTCGAATGAATATATAATTAGTTGTATTTATGTAGTATTGCTGTAAATATTGAAAAATTTAATTATACTACGGAACCGAACCGAACAGAACGAAACGGAACCGAACATAAACGATTCATAATTATATTTGGACCCGACGGTTTCATTTATTAAATACCCGAAAATTTTGGTTCGATTCGGGTCACTTCAGAATCGAACCAAATCGGATCATGTCCAATCCTACCTGACAGCATAGCAGCATTTTTATTTAATTTTTTTTATTTTGTGTAAATTTTCGTTTTTCAATCAAAAGTCCATATAATAAAACATTTTACATGTAATTCAAAATTCGTTTCCACAATTTAACAATATATTCTTCTAAAAATCATTTCAAACTATTGTTTTTCCTCCAATAATGACAATCAAACTGGGGCTAACTGCATCGATTGGATGCCACGTTGGTACTGTAGCTGGTGGAAGACAGAACAACAGGGGATACTTTTTCTTTCGTTCCTTGCCGTGTGTTGAATGGGACTCGGTCATCACCGCCAGAAGTAAACAATAATAATTCTTCATAAACCAACAAAAACAAAAGTCTTCTTCTCCTTCATTCTTAGGTTTCTTTCTTCATTTTCTACATATTAGTCTTCTCCATCTTTTTCACACTCTGTGTGTGCATCACGTTGCTTCATTGCTCTTATCTTTGATCTACTGTTAGGTTGGCTTAATTTTATTGATTACCCATCAAAAAAACTGTATTGCCTTTAAGGTAATTTGCATTTTTGTCTGTGATTATGTGAATCTGTTGTGTTTCAGTCACTGGGTTTGGCTCCTTTTTCTTTCCCTGAATGTCGTTATTGTTATGAATGCAAAGTTACCATTTTTTTGGCGTGCCTCTTATTATTCGGGGTAAAGATTGTTTTTTGGGATTTTCTAGTTCTCAATTTTGATATTAAGGTATGGTGCTATGGTACAGTTATAGAAAAGGGTGATTTTTTTTTTAATTTTTTTAAATAAATATGTTTTTTAATGTTACAGGCCCTTGTTGTTGAACTGTTCATACCTGAACCATTTTTGTTTCTCACCACCGAATTGTGAAGTAATATTTTTGGTCCCCTTTTATAATTTAAGATTCATTTTTACTGATTTGACAATTTGTATGCTTTCTGCTTATTGTACTTTTGGGGCATATGGTGCATAATTTGGTCTTAATTTTGTTAAAACTAGTGGTTTCAACATTTCTTTGATTTACTTACAATTTCTTTAAGGAATTTCGTGTTCTGTTTATAGATTTCTAGATTTGTAAGAGATGGAAGTGGGGAAGGTATCTGAGGACCATTTGACATCGGCTGCAGCTTTTGTGGAAGGGGGAATTCAAGAAGCATGTGATGATGCTTGCAGCATATGCCTTGAAGCTTTTTGTGGAAGCGATCCCTCAACAGTATGTATTATGATCATTAGTCTAATAATTGTGAATTGATATTGACCTCTTGTTGATTTTATTTGTGTTGTTTCATTTGCAGATGACATGTTGCAAGCACGAGTTTCATCTTCAATGCATCCTTGAATGGTATAAAAAATTAGCTTCCAGTTTAAAGAATGATTTATTTTGTTGGTTTATTGATGTGGTCATATCCTTGTAGATGAGACTTGTTTATCTGTTTGCACCGAATTGTTACATAAGATCAAATTGATTCATTTTAGGAAAGTTTCATGGTTTAGTCGAAGGAATGTGACTGAATGTATATTATCGTAGGTGTGTTTTATTGCCTATACTGTAATCATAAATTCATAATTAGGGAAGCATGTTCTTGAGACAACTATACTATTTCCATATTGTACATATCTGTTTTATATATATACTGGTCCATAATATAATAAGATGGAGAAGTTTTTTGACTAACTTGCATGAGGCCATGACGTTTGGTCAGTCCATTGGGCTAAAGGACTTCACTAGCATATTGGTTAAAACGTGTCATTTTTCCAGGCTTAGATATGAGACTAAGGATACTATTGTGCAGTAGTGTGAAAATAATAGAGGAGAGTTCATCACTCTATAGGGAACCACTACCATTTTTGGAATCTCATATAGTAACTTTACTTTTATCCATATTCCTACTTTCACTAAATGGATGTCATCGACGAAAGATCTACCTAGAAACCTCATCTTGGAGTGCACATAGATGTCTAAAGCGAAAAGATAAGGGAACCTTGATGAAAGCATAGAGTGATGAGAAATTCTCTACGAGTACAGCCACTACCCCCTATGCTCATGACTACTCTAGCATAAATATGCTTGATAATGTTGATTTATTAGTAGCGATATGTTACAACACGGTTATGACATAACTGTAGGCCAGTAAATGCAGCTAATGTTTGCACTCAAGAATGTCCTAGGACCGCGAGAAATGTATGGGTGTGTAAGACGCAAAGGGTTTAAGGTTAAAACTAGTTGGAAATATGTACGCTTTATGGTCAAGTTAGCCATGAGTTTGGCTTCGGAATAGTATGATATTGGGTGTGCTGGTCTCGAACTTTAGAGTCTAGACCCACCACATGAAATCTTTGGAAAAGCTATTCTTGTTGCTACCGAGTATGTTTGAACATAAAAATTAGAAAATGTATCCTCTCTTTATATATACGTTACAAGGTGTCCAGTACTATGTTATAATAGAAAAAAGGTATACCAAGAAACACAGTTCTGAATTTTCTGAAGAAATGACCTTTGCTCTACTCTAGCTATGCAAGGGAGGGAGAGACTTGCTCAAGTCTCTCCTGAAGAGAGTTTTCTGCTGATTTTCTGTCAAATTTGGCTTTGTTAGAGACGTGAACCTTCAAGCCTCTTGATCTTTCTTCTCAGTTTCTTAGAAGGTTAACAAATTTAGGTGACTTGAGAGTTCTGCAGAAAGGGATATCTGATTCTGTAGAGGCCAGGGCCATTGAACCTTTATGGCTTTCTTCTCGGTCAATTGAAAACATCAGAAAGGAAAAGGACAAAGCTGGTGATTTCTTCAATTTAAAGGCGGGGCACCTTAGGCTTGCTAATTTTCTTGCTCCAAGTTTTGAGTCATTCTTTTGCATTTTTCTTTTGAGACTCTGAATTATCCTAGGGGGCAGAGAGGGAGATTTGAGCAGTGAGGCCATTTAATTGTTACTTTGGACTTTGTGACCTTTTAATTTACAGTCGTCATTAGTCCTCTGATCACATGAACAAGAGAAGCCATTATTTGATAGTACCTATTTCTGCATTTTATTTTAATGTTTAAAATCTATATTAGTTCTATCCATTGTAGCACATTACTGTAATATGGTGGTGGTGGACAAATGTTTTTATTATTTTATGATAAATCTCTAGGTGCCAGAGAAGCTCCCAGTGCCCAATGTGTTGGCAGTCTATCAGCCTGAAGGATCCCAGCAGGTAAACTAAGTTGACCTTTCCCTGCTTGTCAAGTTTCTAAACTGTTACTTCTCGGTGTTCTTATTTGAAGAGGAGCCTCATTATATGTTTATTCGGCAGCCAGGAGTTGCTTGATGCCGTGGAGCAGGAGAGAAATATGCGGATGAATCCACCTAGAAACACAGCTACATTTCATCATCCAGCCCTGGGAAACTTCGAATTGCAGCATGTTTGTGATCCCTTCCTAATGTTTATTCTCTCAACTTCATTTTCAATTTTGCGACCTGATATTGAATTTATGATGGCTAGATCAGGTAATATAATTTTTTTTTTTTGAACTTTTGTTGCAGTTACCAGTTAGTGCAAGTGACTCTGAACTTGAAGAGCGCATCATTCAGCACTTAGCTGCTGCTGCTGCGATGGGAAGGGCTCGTCAGCTTGCCAGGAGGGAAGGTGAGAGGAGTAGGTCTTCTACTCGAACCCATCCCCGATTTTTGGTGTTCTCAAGTAATCCAAATCCAAATTCTGCTACTTCGCCTGCTTTATCTCCTGCTCAAAGAGGTGGTTCTGGACCAATTCCTGCAGCCATGATAGCTAGCTCGAATTCACCATTTATTACACTTGGAGAAGATTCTGCACAGATTATTACCCCACGATCTTCCTCCCAAGCTGACCACATCACCACCACAGCATCGGGATCAGGTGCCGTTGCTAATCAACTTGGAACTTCCTCGAGCAATAGGTACCTATATCTCTTGATCTTTGTTTCAAGTTTTTCAACTCCCTCAAGGAGTTAGTATGAGTTCACTTTGCTGGTCATTGCTGCTTATTTGTTATGTTATCTTTTAGGAGATCTCCTGCTCAGACTTCCCCCAATAGTCAAGATAGAGCTGGACCATCAGATTTCCAGTCATTCTCGGAGTCTCTGAAATCTCGACTGAATGCATTATCTGTGAGGTGCATAAAACCGGTTGCATGTTATTTACTCCCCTAGTCCTAGTGTTAATGTCATGTTAAGTTTTCTTGATTTGCCAAATTTAGCATACATTTTTGAGATTTGATGTGTGCCATTCATTGCCCATCAACTTGACTTGAATTGCTAAAAGAATAAGAACAAAAGTAACAAAAAGTTGGTGGAGGGACAATGCAGATATTAGATCTTTATACTCAACCAAAACATATATAAATACTCCGACTGCCGAAAAAAAATTTTGGTCGAAAGCGGATGAGTAAATTTTTCTTGACGAATGTATGTGCTATTTGCCTTTTTTCCCCCCAGATACAAAGAGTCCATAACAAAGAGCACAAGAGGCTGGAAGGAGAGATTGTTTGCTCACAACAGTTCAATGCCTGACCCTGGCACTGAAGTTCGTAGAGAGGTTGACCCAGGTACTGCAACTGTACCACGCATGATGGATTATCTTGAGATTGCAGATGATAGATCCGACGTGGCTCCAGTATCAAATAATTTAGATGATAACTTGACTCCAGATACAGTGGAACTCGAGACTGTAGAGATGGGTGGAAACTCTCATTTGACCGAGATTGAAACACCACCTCCTTGTGCTGCTAGTTCAGCATCAAACTAAGTGTTGATTCAGGAATTGTATCAAACTCGTATTGTTTCCTTTTGATGGTAAGTTCTATTCTGGGTAGTGTCATGACAGGCTTTGATATGTTAATATGTCCTTATTGTTACCATGGCATTTGGAATGAGTAATGCTATTTGTCCTCACTAATGGCCATCATCATGTTTAGTTGGAATTGATGAATGACAGGTCCAATAATTAGGGGCATTTAACTGAACCTATCATTTAATGTCAGTGTGCTGCCGCTAGGGTGATGATATACATCAATGATGATAAATAGCATTATTCATTTGAAATATGCAAATGAACTCAGGAATGGTGGTTAGTTTATAAGATAGGAAGCTTCCTTCTTTGCCACTAAATTGAGTTTCTCATATATGATTGCACTAGCAATCTGATAAGTTAGCTTCTGTTGGCATTAAAGAATTATCCACGACCGAATCTCCTAGATTTTGAAAATGCCGACTAGGATTTCAAAGGTTATTTCGTGCATGAACTTCTGTTAAAATTCACTGGTTTCTGATGCTGAACATGTAGCAGTGTGACTGGAGTTGATTCATTCATGGGGTCATCGTACACATTTTTTTATTTGTGAAACTACTTACAGAAGTTTTTGGTGTTTTTATTTGAATCATTTATATGATGTTAAGTAATGTCATGCGATTCTAGTGTATAGACATTTATATCTGATTGTTTCTCTCTTATCAGGTACCGGTACTTCTGTGATGATGACGTTCGTAATCAGTCTTTAAGTTACAGTAACAGGTAACTCAAAAACATGGGTAAGAGCGTTCAAAGAATTTGATGCAATAAGGGAACAGTGCTATTCATTTGGAACAAATATGGATGGGATGCTGTAGTTGTACATTGGTTTTCAATCTCAAAATTATTTCTCATGTTTTTGGTCAATGAGCATGTGATTGTAGTTTAACTGAACGATGCTTCTTGTGCTGACATGTATTCATTAATCAATTTGGTCTAGTCTGTCGAGATTTATTTAATGTTGCCTGATATTTGAAATTCTTGCCACCTTTTCCTCTCGTGATCTGGTGTTCTTTTTCCCGTGCATTGGTTCCTGGTCGAATACCTGGACGCTAAGTTGTCTTCTGTTAGTGCGTTCTTTTTCCCGTGCATTGGTTCCTGGTCAAATACCTCTAAGTTGTCGTCTGTTAGTGCATCACCAGTGGCACGTAATTTGCTAATCTTGTCCAAATAATTTGTTAGGAGGGTCTACTAACACAAGCATTATTGAAAGTGTCGAGATTGTATGCCAATTGGGCCTGCTGTTTGGCTTGATGTGCCGAGCCTCTTGGGTGTCATTCTCTTTGTATTTCAGTTTTCTGTTTTGAGTTTTGAATTCGTTTTGTGTTTTGTGTTTTGAGTGTCTGTTTAGAAATTGCTGAAAATGCGTGCTGATAGTTGTTTTGGAAAATTATTTTTGAAAACATGAAACTAGAAAACACGTTTTACTTTGAAACTCAAAACAATGTTTTGTGTATAATAGTTTTTTCAAGAAACCACCACAACACCGTAACAAACACCATAAACCACTGTCAAAATCAACACCACCACCACCTTCAACCACTTCCAAAATCGACCTCAATCATCACCTCTGCTACCTTCAACCGCTGCCCTACCTGACCTAAATCAATATCACCACCACCTCTTTGCACTGCCAAAATTAGCACCACCACCGCCTTCAGCCACTTCCAAAATTGACCTCAATCAACACCACTTCCACCACCTTCAACCACTGCCCTACCCGACCTTAATCAATACCACCACCACCTCCACCTCTTTGCACTGCCAAAATCAGCACCACCACTGCCTTTAACCACTTCCAAAATTGACTTCAATCAACACCACCTTCAACCATTGCCCTACCCGACCTAAATCAATACCCCCACCCCCACCATCTCTTTGCACTGCCAAAATCAACACCACCATCACCTTCAACCACTTCCAAAATCGACCTTAATCAACACCATCATCAATCATCTACCACCACCAAAATCAATCAAAATCAGTACAACCAAAAAAGGCCCAAACAAAAAATACTATAGAAAAAAGAGAGGAGGCAGTGACGAACGTCGCCGGCGTCTAAGAGAGAGGCGGCAGAGATGAATGTTCATAGCAGCTTCGCCTCCCATGGGTCACAACGAATGGCTCGAGACGCTGTGTTCACAACAACGTCACTTCCCCAGTCCCCACGTCGGCGTCGGCGTCGGCACCGGACCAACAGCAGCGTCCGGTTGCAGAGAAGAGGAGATCGTTGGCTATTCTCTTCTGGAGAAGAGAGAAGACGGAAGAAGAGATTGGATTTGAGTTGTGGGAAGAAATTGTCATTTTGGAATAGTACATTGTGTTTTGCACGTTTTCAAAATTTTTCAAGTTTTGTACAGAAAACGTCCAAAACGTTAAAAACATCATTTTGTGTTTTCAGTGCAATTTTTTTTTTTGTTTTCAAAAACTCGTTTTCGAAAATAGGAAAGAGAACGCGTTTTGGACGTTTTCAAAAATCGAAAACAGAAAACGGCCCGAAAACGACAAAGAGAATAGACCCTTACTTTTTTAGAGAAGTTAGCTTAACTTGCTTTATACTTCTTTCTCAAGCATGGACATATTTTTGGCTGAAATACCGGATTCATTGTCTATTAGGACTGAATGGTGCTTTCTATTCTTTAACTTTGTCGAGCCAATTTAGATAAACTTGCAGTCACTATAACAGCCAAATGGTAAATAAAGCTTAAGATGCACAAAAGGTCAAAGAAATGCAACAAGCTTTAACCACGTCCCTTGTATATAATGCATCCTAGCTCGTTCATTCAAATAACTATCACAGTCGAAGGTACATACCAAATATATCCTCTCTATAGATGCTGAAACAAAGTCCTCCACCCTAACCAAAAGAATCCAAAAAGAGAAGAAAACGAGTTTACTTCTAAAAGGAACATCAGTTCTAACAATTTTGTTGTCGTCTACCAACACGATTGGAAATGTTTCAAAAAAGGTAGTATACGATGGTGTCCTAACCATCCAATTGCTACTCCATTTTTATTATCAATTGTGCCTGCCCTGAATAATCTTCTTTTCGTTAGATTGTTGTTGATATAATCATCAAAAAGTAATTTTTTTCACGAATTTTAGATAAGGCTTCTAATAAACTTTAATTATGGATTACGTATGATTATTTCAAAGAGTTCATGCAATTTTCATTTCTTTTTCATTGAAGGGGACCTAGAATTTCGAAGATTGCTCCCATCATTTAAGTCAAAGCGTAGGATCGCTATGAGAAGAATTGTCACAAGCACTATTAAGAAGAAAACCGTAGGTTTTACAAACAGATGAAAAAGAATCTTTCCATTACTCATCCTTGATGGCACGAGCAATTTTTTTATTGCCAAATAAATAGTACTTACATTTTCATATAAAATATGAAATGCATGGTTGCCATTAGAATAATGAACTGCACAAAAGCCATATGATTTCTAGATATTCCAAGACATACTGCAACATTTATAAATAACGTGTTAAAACCACAGTTTTAACCAAGTAAATGACTAGCAAGATGAGGCACTTTATAATTACAAACAACTTTTAATATTAAAAAGGCTACACCAATCCTTAGTCTAATTTGTAAACTGCAACAAATGGCATCAAGACACTTCCAATCCAAAGCTTTCCATCCTTCTCCTCGACTTCGCTCACAACTTTAACTACTTTTCCTTGCCTGTCCTCCAAAATCTTTAAAAGTTTACCTTCAGGGCTGTACTTCACGATCACTGCTGGAGAGCCTCCAAGTTGCATCAGAAAATGGAGCTTCACAGGAATTGGAAGCTTCAGCCAGAACAATCTGAGTTTTGGGTATAAAGCCAATAAATGAGCATATATGGTTCTTCGACTGTGAATTGCTACCCAAAAGTCACCATCTTCATTTGTTCGGATATTATCAGGAAAGCCAGGCAGCACAGCCATTACCTCGGAGGTCCTTGCTTTTTCACCTTTCAACCAGTACTTTCGCAACCTATATAATTAGAGCAAAAAGTTCAACATGTATGGGATTCCTGAATGGCATGCGTAATATCATTCACATTTAAAATGAACAAATGGACATACCTTCCAACCGAACCCTCACAGAAAACGAAGAATGAACCGTCCTTACTTAGGGACAGTCCATTTGGAAATTGGAGATTCCGAAAAAGAACGGTGGTTTCTTTTGTATGTGGATTGTATTTAAGCACCCTCCCACTATTTTCTCCAGAAAAAACTAACTGCAGAAAGTTCCTGAAATAAGCACCACGTGAGAACTAAAGAAACTCATCCAGAAGGGAATATAATAGAAAAGACACCATATGGTGCAATTAATTGGTTTTTGGTCATAGATATTATACTAGAATAAGATATTACTCGTTTCTTCCGTCTCATTAAACTTCCAAACAAGAAAGTAATTAAGGCCACAAAATTCCTATTCCCTATCTCGTAATTGACTCGTCAGATTCAGATGCACAGAGATGAAGGTCAACATCAATTTTTGAGTATTGAACATGGTAAATATACTTGACCTACCTTCTTTGGTATTTAGTGCTGCTATCTGTGAAATAAATGTTCCCTTCATCATCAGTGTCCAAGTCATTTGTAAATCCCAGTCGAACTCCTTCGGCTTCAGTTGCCAGTGATGTTGCTAAGCCACCTTCAGGCCCGACTTTCATTAACCCAAAATATGCATCCGCAATGTATAGATCACCTGTTCTTTTGTCAAATCTTAGCCCCAGAGGCCTGCCACAGATGTGCTCATTCTTCAAATAGTTCATAATCGATGGTTTTGGATCGCATAGGCCAGACCTGAAATTTTGACCACAGTGATCTAAAAAAAAAAAGCAGAAAATGACAACCCACAGACAAAACTTGCCAGAAAAGGATAGGAGATGAAGAATTAATAGTGAACACTTCTTCCATAAAATGGCCTCTAATTATGTGTATTGACCAAGCTTATATAATATGAGGAAACACAGAGGACAACGCATTCAGTTGTCAATATTTAAATTAATAAATCCCATGATGTAAGACCAAAATGAATGTAGCCTCGAACCCAATGATCATTTCTTCACCTTTACCATTTTTTAAGGCTGATGCATTGGATACCGAACAAATTAATGCACGAGTACTAGCTCACAAAAAATTACAGTAGACATTATGTACAGAAATTACTGGCCAGCTAAATCCCTTACAAATAGATACCTTATTCGTCCAATATAACCATGGAAACATCTCTCATTCAGTTAATTAGTCGCCATGGTGTTATAAGAACCTATCGTAAATATGTCGTGGGATTTTTGACAGAAAAAATGTGAGAAGCAAATTATGAATGTATGTATACAAGAAATTGGCTTGTCAGAACACTAACCAAAATAGGAAAGAAAGCACCTGTCACGATTCGTAACTAAGCACAAATCATGCCACACAATGGAAGCTTTACAATTTAAAACCTAAGGATGGGTACACCATAACAATTCATAACCTGAACCCCACCTATATGTCCAAGTTCATCGACCTTGTAATTTCCATTAAAATATTGTGTTGAAATTTAATAACCAAAGTGCTTCAAATATTCGACAAATATGAAATCCTTGACCGTGATTTAAAAGGAATATTAACAATAGATTCAAAAGCCTGTAATCAGAAATAAATCATTTTTAGTAGTTATATACCTGAGAGAATTTGTTGGCAAACAAATGATTTTTTCCTTGCACAATTGTAACACCCTGATTTTCTTTTTTTTCCTACTTCCCCACGTCAACATCACTCTCTATTCCCTCTTTTTCTCTCTCTATCCCTTGTTTCTCTCACCCCCTCCCTCCCTCTCACTCACCCACACACTCACACATTTCTCTTTCCATTATACCCCCCTCTCTCTATTATTCTTTCACTCTCTCTATCCCTTATTTTATGTTACCCCCCTCTCTCATTCACTCACACATTCTAACACGTCTTTTTCCACTATCTCTTTCATTTGTTTTATTCTCTCTTATATATTCTCCCTCACTCTCACTCTCCCTCTCTCTTTCACTCAAACTCTCTCGAGTCATGTAATATTCACATATAACAAATTAAATTATAGAAGGAAGCAAATGGAATTTCAATAACTTCAGCTCAACCTTTGCATTTTTCGATGTAGGACATATTATATGCGAAAGTTGGTTGCCCCTTTACTATATTGTCTTATTTATGTACATCTCTACATGAAATACTAATTGACCTTCAGGTACTCTATGAAATGAAATATGAGATTTCTTCGGACAGGACACAGAATTATGTCCTCTAGAGCTATCACTCGATCACCGACTGCTCTTGATAAAATGATGGTATGAATTTTTTGAGTTAAAACGTTGATAACTTAATGTCGTATTTGGAGACATTTGCTTTGCTTGGTATTTTAATACTCATCTCTATTTTATTACATATTTCAGGTTAGTTCGGAGGTGTGGCGAAATAGTGAAGCGATATGCGAAGGGACTAATCATGAAAGTGTGAAAATTAAGTCTTTTTTTTATTTTTCTTGTCAAATGAACTTAACTTTATGAGCGTGTAATTAAAGCATTTTAGTTACTGCAAGACTTGAATTATGAATATTATATGCTGAAGTATAATTAATCCAAAGTTTAATATAAAGTATTAGATTTTATAAAGTCTTGTCATATGTTACGATTTTGTCACAAATATAATTATATAAAGTTACTAAAATCTAGTAGTTTTCTTAGAAAATTTTAATATATTAAAATGTATTTTTCTCCATTTTATGAATAAAACAAACCATAACATAATCATTCTCTATAAATTCTCTAAGACTGATATGTCCATCAACAACACATTAATACTTCTCATTACTTATAATGGTGTTTTTTCTATTCCAACAAGTAAATAACAAATATTGTTGGCAAAAGTACGCATTGGAGAAGTAATTAGTAAGCAATGGCCAATGGTACAAGGTCAATAAGGCGGTGAGGAGAAGTTATGAACAATTTCAAGAGAACTATTACCTATGAACCAATTTACCAAATTGTTGTAAGCAAGCTCAGTTATAGTCTCCAAGATTACCTCTAACAAGTGGTGGGAACAATTGTCGAAGTGTTTTCCTGAAGTAATTAAGAAACTCAACGTCCAAGACACATAAAATGGTACAATGTAAACCATGCAAGCAATCAATTTAGCCTCCGTTTAAAAAATTTATAATCATTTATAATTGGTCAAACTTCATTTACAACAATGCATTCTAATGGACTTACAAATATTATTCACTTATCCACCACCCATTTCAATTTATTTATAAATTGAAGTGTTCATAAATACTTCCCAAACGGAGGCTTACTTCCAAAAAAAATTAATAACATTAGAAGTATCAATAGTATAGAAACATGGAATGAATAGGCCATTTTAGAGAACTTGTCCGCGACTACGAAAATAAAATCATCAATTGTAACTCCTAGTAGTGTTGTGCAATCCTAGGATAAAGCCCATTCTAAAATCACACCCAAGCGGTTTGTGGGACAGGATAAAGGGTGTATAAACCAGAATTTATTACTTAATGTTACCTAATCAACAAGTACGCTGTTGAGATGCAATAAGATCAACATTCTTTTTCAATGCAAGTCAATAAAACCTATTTTTCATTAGAAATTTAGTCTTATGACTACACTAAAAACTTTTCAAGTGAAGTGCTAGGAATGCACAATTTAATTCTCCTGATAAGAAAGATCACATTATATCTACATGAGTTATCTCATATATGTAGAAAATTGATGCTAAAATTTGGATAGATAGGATACTTGTCCTTAATTCAATGAACCTAACCCTTCATTACTCAGAGTAAGGTGAATTTTGGTGTGCTTGGCATGACAAGGCGCAATGCGACACTCATACAAACGCTGGTCATTGTTGATTTTGCAACACTAAAAGAGCTAGACTTGAAAAGATCTGACATGGCCAAGTCGCGGGGATATGATGTTACCCCATATTTGACTAGGGCTAAAGTCTAGCATAACGAACTGACATAGAAAATCCATCACGTTTGAGTCCTAAACGGGGACCACCAGCTTAATTCCACTAGCTTGAACCAGCTCATGCCGGCAAGACACTGTCACCTCTACAGTACCAAACTCATTCTATAAGACATTGACCGATACTAAAGACAGGTTATGACCAAGAGATCGAAGCTTGGAGTCAGTAGTGGGGTGAAGCACCTGATGTCAAACCTTTGAGCTCATAAAAAGCAGAAGACACAAGCCCAACCTATCATACGAGTGATCAACTTGGTAGTTACGCACAGCGACGACAACTTAAATTAAAACCAAAAATTGACCACCGCATTGAAAGAGTTTTGTCCGATGCACAACCAGCAGGTAGGTTTTTTATAAGGGATCATCTGACATAGATCCTTATGAATTCCTAATGCAGGAACCACTACTCTGATGTAAGTCCACAATTATAAATAAATTGTGAGCCGAGTAAACTACAAACACTTTAAGCCTATTGAAACTATGCCATTTTGCGGGAAAAAATGCCCTTAACCGATTTATGCCTAAGAGTGCAATAGGCCACAAGCCTCAGCTCCAATGGCTAAGTAGTCTGACACTCGTCTATTTCGAGAAATTATGATGGAAAGAGGTTCTATTCCCCTTGTTGACAATATGTGGAATCAATAAACCGAATTTGTTCTATAAATAGAATTAAATTCCTTATGAAAGTATGAAACAGTCCAAGGCCCTTGAAACCCCCAAAAACAAATACGGAATTCCTCTTCATTAACGGCACGATGGAAAAACAAAAATAGGAACATAAAAGACAAATCTTTAATAACATTACCTAAAACACTTCTAAACTGAAATCCATATTCTAACAATCATTAGGACAAAAATTTAAAACCAAAAATTATACAAAACCCATTATCCAGAACTCACCTATTAGCCGAAGTATAAGCAAAATCAGTCCATTTATGGCCATCCCAAAATATAACTCTCCCATCAGCCACACCAGTGTACGGGCCACGACCCATTGGATCGAATGCCATGCTCTCCGGTCCTTGCACTTCATTCAAGAACTTGATTTCCGATTTCTGGAGCAAATTTTCAGTGTCTTTTTCAACAGGTATTTCAGACCACGGTGTTAATTCCACCTTAAAAGCTTCAAAGTTCGGGAATCCAGAAATTGGACTGTGCTTGAATGGGTCCACTGCACAATATATGGCCAACAGAAGGATTATTCCGGCAAATATTCCGACAGGCGTCATTGTCGGGTTGTATTTAAGGTTGTCGAGTGTTTTCCTGTTGAATAGTTGTAGTGTGTTTTGTTTTGTCCTCGCAATCTCAGTTAGGCTGGACAAAATCGTCCCAAATCGAATCGGATAAATACTCAAATGAATATTTGATTCGAGAATCGATATATTTGATTCACTTCTCGATTTTAGGCCAATAAAGGCAATAATCGAATCTAAATAATTTTTAAAATTTTTTATATTAAATTAATTAAATAATTTTAATTTTTCTAAATAAATTAGCAAATTTAAATAATTTTCTACTTTTTGTCATTTGTATATATTGAATTAATTTTATTGGACAACTTGTTATTTATTCTAGGTCAAGAACCGAATCTAAATAATTTTTTTAATTTTTTCTATTAAAATAATTAAATAATTTTAATTTTTTCTAAATAAATTAGCAAATTTAAATAATTTTCTACTTTTTGTCATTTGTATATATTGAATTAATTTTATTGGACAACTTGTTATTTATATGTTTTTAAATTGAGTTACGTTAATTTGTAATAGTTACAAATGAACATATTATTAGTTATATTTATATAGTATTGTTGTAAATGTTAAAAAAAATTAATTATGATACGGAATCGATCAGAACAGAACGGAACTGAACTGAACCGAACCCGAACGGTTCCATAATTATATTTGGACTAGCTATGTCAACGAGCCGAGTCGAGCCCGAGCTTTTTTCAAACCTAGCCGAGCAGGGCCCGACCAAAAAAGGGGCTCGGCCCGAGCCTTAGTTTTTTTTTTTTTTTTTTTTTTT